TATAGTAATATAAACTAAAAACCAAAGTCAGATTACGGTTCGACTTCGACCATGCCTCAGACCCGTCATACACTCCTCAGAGGCCAGGCAGAGGTGACTACGCTGGCAGGTCTTAGCCATGACAAATAAAGACATTGGGGATTGAGATTGAAAGGGAGAAGTGGCACAGTCGGATCGGACGTTAAGGAGGACGTTACCTTTCACAGACGTAAAACTCGATATGAAATTCATCCTTATTTCTTTTTACCTTTCAATGTTGAAAGAGTATCGTTACCTACACCAAAAGGCTCCTTTAATAAGGTCAGAAGTGTAGTCGACAGGCAGTTGTTCCTCCTTCTCTCAAGGAGTTTCCTTGCTTATACTCTCCTACTTCCTTCCTCCTTCCTTCCTGTTCCGAGTGCCTTCTACAACAGTGCACCATTCGGTTCTATACAAAACATCGGGAAACAGAAAACCGTAAAACATTGGACTTGTTCTATCCTAATTTTCACGATTATTTACTGATAAAAAAAATAAAATTAAGAAGAATGAGTTTTGTTAATTACGCATATTGGAATAATTTTACAGGGTGTATTAGTAAATTTTTCCAAAACAATCACAGTCTGACAATGTATTTACATTACAGGTCAATATTAATTTCTATATATATACATATACATACATATATATATATATATATATATATATACACATATACATATATTACATGTAAGGCTAAATTTAGTTGTTTTTATGGATTTAAAATGTCAGTTTTTCAAAGTCCCCCGCTCAAAGGTGAGAATAGTGATACAAGTCAGCAAGGTCTTCTTAGAACAAGCACGGCTCAAAGGAAATTGATAGAATTAGGCAGTAGAGAAAAAGAATTGCGAGAAAAATGTAAATGAACTTCTGAGCATCTTGTTAATAATAAATAATATGAAATGGTTAAATACATTAAAGAACAGGTGCATGCAGTGAAGGGAGCACAATCAGCCTATTCACTCTTTTGTATTCTTGTGGATTGGTTAGGTCATTCACAGTACTACTTTTAACCCTCCAAAGGGACTTAAGATGTTAAGCCATTGATAACAGGAAGCGCACCGTGGTTGAGAGGCTAGTAATGGAGGTCATTTTATACAAAGCAAGCAATATTAGAAAATATCTGGTTTTGTAAAAAATAACAAAAACAGTTACAAGAGATGGCTTACCTTGGCCCTTTTCCTTCCATGGCTGTGATTGGGAGCCCGTTTCTGCAAGAGAAATATATGATTTTACTAACAGTAATAATAACACTGGACATTGAATACACATAGAAAATCAGCAGCTATAGATTTAACTAAGGGCAGAATTAATGTAATAGGTAAAGTTATTGCAGAGCCTTTAAATTCATTCTAATGTCCTTCTTTGTATTCAATTATCAAACAAACACATTGTTGTAACACATCATATAAATATTGTAAATGTCACAACTGGCCCTTTCATGTTATCAGTTCCTCACCTGTGCATCCTGTGGGGAACTGTCCTCCGGCTCCAGGCCCTCTCCTGTCCCTTCTTTAGTTCCCTGTGGCAGAGGGGAGGTCTTTCCTCGACTGCAGGGCTCGATGAGCGGCCCACTCTCTCCCTCCTGCTGGATGTCTGTTATCAGGCTCACCGACATCTTCTCAGGGGAAGGAAGGGGAGAGGCTGGGAGTAGGGGACGGGGTGGGGTGGAGAACCCAGGAGTGGCTGGGAGAAAAAAATCAAGAGAAAAGAGAGGAGAATTCAAGGTTCTGACAAATTAAGATTTTGACAATTAATAACTTTAGAGAAAGAAACATACAGTATGTGTGCAAGTGTACAGTAATATAATATCTACCTGTAGGGGGTACCAGATCTGTGCTGTACTCCGTACAGTGAGTCTGGAGGGAACCACGCAGGAAGATAGGGGAACCCACTAAGGTAGTGTACTGGGCTGGGCTGCAGCAGGGGGCGAAGCGCAGTCCATAGCAAGCCTCAGCCTTCGGGATGGGGCTGAGGGGAAACAGCACCCAGAAGAAAGAAATGTTAAAAACTTTATTAAAAATCCGAATTGACTGTGTTACATGAATGCTACATATATACAATACTACATGGATGAATAACTACATCAAATATTATCTTATCAACATAAGTTTTGAAATGAAAAACTATCAAGGTGCAAACTCACTCCAAAAGACGAAGGGTTTTAAAAACGATATAGCGATTATTCAATACATAGATTCCCTCCTCTTTCCGCGACACACAAATTTAAAAATAAATGTTCTTCAACTTTATTTCAATTTTCCCCTAGTGTATCAAAAAGGGTATAATATATATGGATATCGTATAATTTACTGCATGGAAGTTAGAAATTCCAGTTTCGTGACATCATGACAAAAGACACATCTTTAGTTGAACAATAATAAAGATGGTCCACATGCACAACAAAGAAAGGCAGCAATATTTACAGCGATCAGGTGAACTGAAGAGGCAGCAGCTAGCCAGTCAGGCAAGGGGGAGGGGCACACCAACAGGCCAGCCACCACCTCAGCGTCCTCCGGGGTGCCTCTCTCTTTTCTCTCCCTGCGGCTCAGTGCAGCAGCATGGTCTGTCCTCCAGTCAGGAGCCCTGGACAACAAGAACAGAAGAGGAAGACACGAATGACGTCATGTTTCACACACCGAGTGACTCATCGCTGCTGCTGCTGCTGCTGCTTCTAGCAGGGAGGGGGACAAAGCATCAGAAAGCTCAGAGCCCACAGGGCTGCAGATCTCTAGAGCGTGGGCAACACTCTTTATGAATGGAAAATGGGTGTTTTCTGAGAGAGAACTATTTAAAAATGGGTTTCTTCCCCAGAATTTAAACTAGCAGCAACACTTAGAAGATGATAGTACATTCTTCTGACCAGCTTTGGTTGAACATAAAACATAAACACTCAACTATTCCCTTTCAAACCCTCATTCTCCTTTATTGTGCAGCTGCAAGCTCATGTTATTCAAACTTCCAATCTAAAAACCCTTTTGTAGTTTGTATCTCAACTGTATCTTCACCAACAAAGCATATACTATTCATTAATAGTATTCTCTATTTTCCATCCTGTCATTTTCATCATTAAACCCATTTTTCCAACATGGAAAAAGATAAGACAGAACTGCAAGCAGCTTTGGGGTAAATTCTTGCTATGAAGCTGTTACTAAGATGCCTTAGGCAGTACAGAACACAAACACAGATGAAAAGGAATCCATATGTCCTACAAGCCTACATCATCTGGTATCACAGGGTCAACAGCTGCATACATTGTGTTGAATTAAAAATGATAGGTAGGCTCAGCACATGCATGCTGAGGTGGTGAAGCACAAGTGAATACAAAGGCATCAGAGGCGTGATTGTTGGATTGAATGCATGCAGCACGGATGAGCGCCATTCATGCATGTCCCTGCCTGTACTGCTGTGCTGCCGGATAGACGAGATGAGTGAACAAACTGGGCAGGGATTCCCAGTGTGGGGAGACCCAGGCAATGCAACAGCAAGGGCGTCATCGGCAGCAGCATCAGCATTACAACACATCACTGACCAGGACACCCACATGCCCCAACCTCGCTCTGCTTATATAAGCCAGCACAACAGCATCACAGAATACAGCCAAACTGTGCACTGAAGGCAGATGCCTGACAGTGTCTTTGAAAAAAAAATCTCCTTTTGCTAGCTTATACATATAAAGTGTGTTTTTGCACAACAAGAATGAATGGGTTTGTTTTAGAAAGAGTGTCAATCGCAATCTCTGAGCGGACCAATGTCATAGCAATGGCAGGGAGCGGCTGCAGGACAATTTGTGAATCAGAGCCAGAAATGGGGGGCTTATGAATAAACCAGATTAAAACAGACCCATTCTCTCCTCCTCCACCCATGGCTCTCTTATGTTTCCTCAGTTCTCTCCTCAACACTCCCTCCCGCTTCCCTCACCACACACACACAAACCAGCCTACAGTGTTGCCAAGGAGATGGGAACGTCATACTCAACTGCTGCCATTTGTGTTGAGCGAGTAGCAGGGCGAAGAATGATATTAAAAATAAATATGTGGATTGCAGTGTGCACATACTGAGAGGGATGCAGGAAGAACAAGGCAGGAAACAAAAAATAAATGATGCCAAGTGATGCTTTTGCTGCTGTTCAGATTTCTAAGAATCAGTAAAAATTCTAAGTATGTGATACAAACAACAATGAGGAATTGCAGTCATTCAGGTCATTAGAAATCATAGCAGCATGTGTGTGTTGATGGGCCTGATGTTGGCATCTCTCTGCCAACTGCCATCATCATGACATGAGGTTGCAGACATGCAGAAGGGGAGCTGATTCACACAGGATTCTGGCTGGTTACGTCATAAGTAAAAGGGGTTATCCACATCATGTTGGTCTTATAAAACCACATTAACATGCTGGCTGGTGTTATAGAGCAGGATGCTTTGATCAAGCAAGTTGATAACCGCTTTAATTAGGGATGCACCGAATATTCGGCCACCGAAAATTATCGGCCGAAAATGGTTAAAAAGGCCCATTCGGCTTTTCACCGAATTTTAGAGAACAGGGTTACGTTGATCATACTCCGCATATTTGTCCGGGTGTTTTGATTTCAAGTGGTGGAGTAATCCCGAAGTGGTGAAAGTCTTTGCAGTTACACCCCCTCGAGAAATGTCAGCTGAACACGTTTTACAAATCGCAATCCGCGCCTCTCTCTCTGATATTTTGAAATATCTCCAAGCGGCAGACGAGAAATAACGTCTCTTGGATGGGTCGAACTTACAACTCCAGCCCGATCATTACCTTGCTAAAATCACCTATAAAGACATAATAAGTTTTAAAAAGGTCACACAAGCTTATACTCAAAATACTGATACAAATTAACAAAAGAAACCCTCCCCATCGGATTAAAAAATGTATAATGTTTTCCTAGTAAAGTTCACCTACTACTGATCCGGTACCGATTCGACCACTCGCTTCCACACAAAAGAAGGCGAGTAGGTCAGGAGAGTAGTCGCCCGTCTCGCGTCACACTAGGAGAGAAGAGCGCCGACCAATATGACTAGTGTATATGTAATATGAAAGGGGCGCAATTACAGGTTTAGGAAGTCTAGATCGATCAAGTTCGATTACTATCTGACGACGCGGAGGAGGAGAGGATGGGTGTCTAGTCCGGGGTCTGAGTTGGGAATAGAATACGGGTTTAAGGTCGACTCTCCAGAAGAGGATGCGACCCGACTAACACTGAGAGAGGCGTGGGCGGGAGAGGGGACTCGTAGATCGTGTACGAGTATAAGAATTTGTTCTTACTCATAACTTATCCGACGTAAGGCACGTATCGGGACAATATCCAACCACAACTAGAGACAAACATTATCCCAATGGTAATGGGATTGGGCACACACACAAGCCAATACTAGAGGAGAAAGTAAATTTTGGTTCAATAAAAATCGGACGTCGATATCCGACATCGTAATCGACAGTTGACAAGTTGACACTGAGTGGCTCAGAGTTATGTAGACTGTTAGCCTGAACCCAAGGGATCACCACTTGAGCATAAATAAATAAAAGTTATGTAAAAAAAAAAAAAAAACATTTTTAAAGTGTAAAAATAATTAAAGAAATAATCCCGATACATGTAAACCCAATTGGCAAAAAACCCCCCAACTATAAGCTTATATGTAAAACGAAAGATTTACGGTTAGGGATCGGCCGATCGGATAGACTTCACCCCTAAATGTAAGAGACCTGGAATTGGGTGTGTGTGTATGAGCGTACACCACTGGTCTGTCTATCACAACGAGCTACAGAAGTGACGAAGTGTGAAGGCGACCGCAGGAAACCACCCACATTGGGGCTGTGTTTCACCCGTTCCCGTCTCGGGGTTCACAGAGTCGACCAACGGACAGTAGTCTTCCAAGGTACATTCTCCGACACTCCAAGCCCATACCCACCGCCACCCAGTCGCACGGGGACGTAATGTGATGTGGTCGACTACTAATAAAACACCCAAGAACAATACAGCCGGGACATAACCTGGTAGACACACGATGGCACCACTCACATTACTCCAACTACCCTTTCAAAGGGGACAGTAGAACACTCCTTCGACAAAAAATTATAAAACATGACTATTTATAACATAGAAGATTTCATAAGTCTCATCGAAGTGTTCCTCCCTTATGAACATGTTCCGTCAGTGGACTTTCCAAGGTATGACTTAATTCATAATTGAGAAATCCAGGTCTAACCCATGCCCACACATTATGTTCACAACCCACAAAGATTTTTCCGGTAATGGTTTGTATTTAGTACAGGAAACAACAAACACTTGGACGGGGTTCATTCATGTAATTTCGATCCCCACGTGGCTTACCCCTTTAACAACCGAATTTGGCTATGGACTTTTATCCTTTGTCAACCCGGCTGTACGGCTTTCCGGCTTTTACTGAATTATCTTTATTATATAATATTCTATATCTATCTATCATCAATAGGTAAGCGAATAATAGTAGCGATAGATTATATCATTATATACATACCATACATACACAAATATATGATATATATATCATATATATGGGTAATAGTAATTTATGATATATAGTGTAATATATCATATATATATATATTATATGATATAGTGATATCTTATTGTATATATATATTGTATATAATATAGTATATAATATATTATATACGTGAAAACTTAACGTATGTCATGTAATTTAAAGGTTCAGTTCAACCGTAAAAGAAAAGAGACATCCTATTATGTGTTGTTTCACGTAAGCTCTGTTTCGGTTCCACGAAATTTTGACGTATTGTAGAGATCCGGTCATCCGAGTTGTTTATTCCACATTTATTTCTGCATATGTCGGTCCGGAAGTTGTTGTTGTTTACGGTGGATATTCAAACCATTTGGATTGCACAACAACACTACTGCATTAGTTTTGCGCGCCGCTGTTCGTGCCGCGCGCTGTACGAGGCGCCGACCGGAGTG